TCTGGTCTGACAACTTAAAGTGAAAATCAAATGGTTTATTGTAGGGCATTTTTGTTTAACTTTTATCATGATACCCCAACAAACCCCTGTCTGAAGGGGTATTTTTTTTTAGCAATAGTGTTTGTAACGTGTCAATTAGAGGGTCACTTGTTTGTATTGCAATAAACACTGGGACCAGCTCCTGGGTTAATAATTAATTTTTGTTTTTAATATTTCACATGAAAAGAATCAAAGTAATTGTAATGGCTGGAATAGACCTGCCAGAAGATTAAAAAAAAAGAATGAGAAAAGCCCAGACTGTGATGTGCAAACTTCCTTTCTTTAAATGTCCCATGGACGTAGGACAGTGCCATGTTTTAAGATGCCTGTGAGCTAGGTCTTCAAGACATATAGAATGTTACATATGAACAAAATATAATTGTGGTATAATTCTTGTACTTTAGCAAATCTGGAGTTAGTTCATAGTCAAAGTCAGTTAATATTTCTTACAGGAAAGGTTTACTTTTTGTGGCAACATTTTTATGGCTTGTGTGAGTTCTTTTATTTAATGATTTGAAACCAGTATTTTTGCACAGTCATGACCGTGTGTGGTGGCGTCACTGTAACCAAAGTATATGCACCAGCCTTGTGCATTTGTTTCTCCTGATTTTGTGCATTTAAATGTCCAAATGCAAACCTTTGTGACTTCCTTTGGAGGATTTGGCAGCACAGCATGCCCCCGTGACCTGCCTGCTGTGTTATGAGCAATGACCAAGAGCAGGCTTCTGCTCCATGGAGCCCTGAGTTGCTCTGGGGCAGGGGATTACATAATGAAAACTAATCATGTGTAACAATAAATCTACCTTAACAGAAAGAATATGTTTGTTTTATTTTAACCTGTACAGTAAAGTAGAAATTATCAGTAATATTCTGACAAGTCTTTTCTTGCTAAATTGGCATGGGTCAAAAGTAGCTTCCATTGCTTCAAGTTGTTCTCATTAAGATTAAGGCAACATTTGGGAGGTCAAGGCAGGCGGATCACCTGAAGTCAGGAGTTGAAGACCAGCCTGCCCAATATGGTGAAACCCCGTCTCTACTAAAAATACAAAAAAAAAAAAAAAAAAAAAAAAATTAGCTGGGCATGGTGGTGTGCACCTGTAATGACAGCTACTCAGAAGGCTGCAGCAGGGGAATCACTTGAATTCAGGAGGTGGAGGTTGCAGGGAGCCGGGATTGTGCCATTGCACTCCAGTCTAGGCAACTGAGCACAAGACTGTATCTCAAAAAAAAAAAAAAAAAGGATTAAGGCAACAGATTTTTTTTTTTTTTTTTTGAGATGGAGTTTCGCTCTTGTTACCCAGGCTGGAGTGCAATGGCACGATCTCGGCTCACCGCAACCTCCGCCTCCTGGGTTCAGGCAATTCTCCTGCCTCAGCCTCCTGAGTAGCTGGGATTACAGGCACGCGCCACCATGCCCAGCTAATTTTTTTGTAGTTTTAGTAGAGATGGGGTTTCACCATGTTGACCAGGATGGTCTCGATCTCTTGACCTTGTGATCCACCCACCATGGCCTCCCAAAGTGCTGGGATTACAGGCATGAGCCACTGCGCCCGGCAAGGCAACAGATGTTAATATTCTCTAGGCTCTGGTCATTTGATGGGAATTCCAGGGCACTGTAATGGTTTTCCAGAGTGAGGGTTTAGAAGGAAACTGGTTACTTCTGTTGATGCAGTCCACTAAAGTACATGATAACTCTGCAGACCCCACATTCTCATCCCTTCCTTGAATCCTTTAGGGTCTACAGTTAGTCCATAAAGTTGAGGAAAGCATGGTTGCTGGAAGACAGGTGGGGAGGTGAGGCAGCCCTAGGCCTGACACTCTCCTACCCTAAGAAAGTACTACTCAACTATCTGGTCAGTGTAGACATTTATCTTAATTTTCCAAGTATCTGTACAGGGAGAGGAGATGCCCCTGGGGAAGGGTCAGCCACTGGGCCTGAAGTTCTGGTGAGGAAGAGGACCCATGTGGGGGAAGGGCAGGCTAGCTCATCCTATTATCCTAATATCGAGCCTTGATTTCATGTCCCAAAGTATATTCACAACACTTCAAGCAAAATGTTTTAAATGATAGAACAAGCTGACCCATCTAGGCATTCTGAGTTGTTGATCATTCAGAGCATAAATGAAGTTGCTCTTCTCAGAGTCATTTTCCTAGTGAAGATGCCACCGTGTAGTTTACAAGCCTTGTTTTGTCAGCTTAAGAGTCCACATACAGACTGCCAAAGGTATGCAGATAATTTCCAAGTCTCATTTAGGATGATATGATAGATCACAGGTCCGCAACTCATTAGGAACTGGGCCTCTCAGCAGGTGAGCTGCGGCCAGTGAGTGAAGCTTTATCTGTATTTGCAGCCAGCCACTCCCATGTCTTGTGTTACTGCCTGAGCTTTTGTCTTTCAGATAAGCAGCAACATTAGAGTCTCATAGGATGCAAGCCCTACCGAACTGCACATGCATGGGATCTAGGTTGTAATGATCTGTCACTGTCTCCCACCACCCACAGATGGGACTAAGTTGCAGGAAAACAAGCCCAGGGCTCCCACTGATTGTACCTTATAGGATGTTCTATAATTATTTTATTGTATATTATAATGCAATAATAATAGAAATAAAGTGCACAATAAATGTAGTGCACGTGAATCATCCTGAAACCATTCTGTCCCCCAACCTGTGAAAAAGTTGTCTTCCATGAAACTGGTCCCTTGTGCCAAAAAGGCTGGGGACTGCTGTGCTAGACGACCCTCTGACTTGCGTGGCTTTCTCAGTTACACCTGCTCCCATGCAGCTCCATGTGAACAAAGGCCCTTTGCACAAGCGCCCCCCTCCCAAATGAAATATTGTTAGTCCTGAAGGCCAGGCGCGGTGGCTCACGCCTGTAATCCCAGCACTTTGGGAGGCCGAGGTGGGTGGATCACGAGGTCAAGAGATGGAGACCATCCTGGTCAACATGGTGAAACCCTGTCTCTACCAAAACAAAAAATTAGCTGGACATGGTGGCGTGTGCCTGTAGTCCTAGCTACTCAGGAGGCTGAGGCAGGAGAATTGCCTGAACCCAGGAGGCGGAGGTTACGGTGAGCCGAGATCGCGCCATTGCACTCCAGCCTGGGTAACAAGAGCGAAACTCCGTCTCAAAAAAAAAAAAAAAAAAAAAGAAATATTATTCGTCCTGAGTACATGAATATCATGATGTTTTGTTAAATAGACAAGTATCCATCTTCTTTCTTGGAGTGACAAGATTTAAGAGTTTAAAAATTAAATTATAATATAAACTCAAATTTACTTGTTTGGATAATCACTTAGAGCAAAATCACATTTCTGTAAAAATCACCTTAAATAAAGGTCTCCACCACGTGGCCCATTTTTCCAAATGACAATAAAGAATTTGGTAAAACCAAAGGCTGTACATCCCTTTAGAGTGTGGGTTAACAGCATTTCACAGAAAATGGTTGAAGCAAGCTCCTAAATAGCCTTTCTTGAGGCGCTGGGAGAGGCAGTGTACCCACACCTGGGCGCTTTGCTCAGTACACACTTGGGACCAACCAACTCAGAGGGTGGCTTCATTTCCAGTCAGCGTGGCTGTGCTTGGATTTGGAGGACTGGGGCATCGCCCAGGAGGTCCTCTGTAACCAGTCTCCTACAGAGTTAGGTTTCTCTGTTCTTGGGGACAGAAGTCATATCTTTGATAGTAGAAGTCATATCTTTGATGCCTACTTTAACATTACATTGAAGACAGTGGCAGAGAGCCCCACCTCACTCACACGCAGCCTGGTTGCGGTCTGTGCCTGAGCAGAGGTTAGGATTTCTCCTTTCCAGGATCCCACTGCCAGAGACCAACTGGGATCCGAGCAGTTAAACAGCTTAATCCTAGGACTGCATGAAATCAATGCTTATGGCCCCTGATTTTACCTTTAATTTTTCATGTAATTAAGCAAATTATATGTTTCAGTTAAGAATCCTGTTTCTGCAGAGCCTAAATTATAACACAAATAGATTTTTTTTTAATTGCAAAACTACTTTTACAAAGCAGACATTTATTAACACCATTTTTTGGGTAAAATTTCTAAAGAAACAAATTCAAGACAAAAATCCCTCCAGTAGGTAACAAAATATTGTTTCAATTCCTTCTGATCAAGTGACTTTATTTCATAAAACAGTACAACAGCTGGGCAGGTTCAGTCTCCTCTGGATGTGTGACAGTCACCGTTTCTTCTGTAAACATAACTAGGATACAGTTACACTGTTATAACTAAATTTTAAGTAAATTAGTACTGTGACCTCCAAGGGCAGGTGTGAAACATGTGATCAGAGCCTGAAACACCTTGTAGTGGTTTCACTAAAGTTAAAACAAGAGAAGCACTTAGGAAGAAAGTCTTCCCTCATTAATTTCTGCATGGTGCAGTTACATCTTCATGCTAGAACTTATGGACAAAGTGTATCTTCCACTTAGAAAATCCAAGTGTTTTCACAGCAAGTTTAATAAATTAAAAATGTAGGAAAAAAAGGAACTAGTGAACAAAAGAATTCTTCAAGGTTTTCTTTTTAAATTAATGTTTAAATGTTACATGTGAATCAGCATTTCACAAGCACATGGCACGTACTCAAGGCCCTAGAACCAAATGTCAACATTTAGCAAATACAGCAGAATCATCTTTTCATTGTGACTTTTTTTTTTTTTTTCCCCTGAGACGGAGTCTTGCTCTCACCCACACTGGAGTGCAATGGTGCAATCTCGGCTCAGTGCAACATCTGCCTCCCAGGCTCAAGTGATTCTCCTGCCTCAGCCTCCCAAGTAGCTAGGATTACAGGCATGTGCCACCACGCCCAGCTAATTTTTGTATTTTTAGTAGAGATGGGATTTTGCCATGTTGGCCAGGATGGTCTTGAACTCCCAACCTCAGATGATCCGCCTGCCTCGGCCTCCCAAAGTGTTGGGATTAAAGGCATGAGTCACCATGCCCGGCCTCATTGTGAATTTTTTAAAGCGATAATTAAGTCCTGCATAAAACAGCCAAAGGAGCATTTGAGACAAAGTTACTGGTTCGTCACAATCAACTCTTTAAGGCATAATCGGAGGTAAGTGTGCTGAGACTTTTGGTCCCTTCTGCTATGTTCTCATATGCTCCCAAGGAAACAGATGTGTCAGTTACTTGCCTGCTTCCACCTCTAGGTGTGGAAATGAAGTCTGGAAATTACAGAAATCAAGTCATAAAAACCTGGCAAAAATATTGATGCTCGCTCTGTTCTACAATTTGCCACAGTCACCTCATTTTTCAAATAACATGACTACACAACTTTCAAGTGCTCTAAAACGTCTTAATTTTTCATGTCTCTACAGAAAAATACTCTACTGTTTTGCTAGATTCTTTGGTAGGACAGCTTTTACCTAATCTGATTTTTTAAAGACTGAAACTGAACGGTCTCATCTCATCTCTAAGTTGATTTTATGACAAACTCCCTAGCTGCGTATGTGCTGAGATTACACTAAGCAGTTGTGCAGGTGTTCAATCTGTCATACCTTCTTTACTGCCTACAAATGGGGGCTGGGGAGGAACGAATGCAACAATCCATTTCTTTAGTCGTATCTGAGGGTCCCCACAGAAAATCCGATTTGCTTCAATTTAACAGGGAAAAATGGCTGAAAATATGTGGCCCCAGTTTTATTTCAGCTTGGAAGAAAAATACCTTAAAAGTAGTTATGAGATAAGTAAACCCACATGGAACTATAAGGCGGGGTGAGAAGCCAGGAAGACTGTTGACGATGATATCAGGAGCTGGTTCAGTGCTCTGTACTCTGCAATTAAGACAAGCAGTTGTCTAAACAAGATAAGCTTTAGAACGACTAACACACCCTACGCCAGAATTAAGTGAGGTTATGTTCACTGCTTTGTTTGTGAAGTGTAATTGAGATCATGCAGATCAGGATTTTTGAGGGAAAGCTTTAAAAATGCTGTGATAAAGCCGTGCAAGTTAGAGGTTCAGGAACATCTGCAGAGGCCGTTCTTCCCACATCCTTGCACATGGACCATTATTTTTCTTCACCCCACATCACCTTGAGTTCAGCTACCACACGCGCAGACTAACAGGATGGGAACTGCTTGGTGCTTAACTTGAAGCTCTTACTCCATGTTGCTCAACGAGTGAAGCTGTGTGGGCACCGAGTCTGTCTGTGGGGTCAGCTCACTAAGCTCACCAATGGTGGTGGCCAGCAGGGCGTCCTGGGGCACCATGGTGGCGTCCGACTTGGAGGCTGTGTCTGCAGAAGTGTCCTGCATGGTAGGTACAGTCCCTTGGACTGTAGCCAGGTTGTGGAAATGGCCATTTTCTGCAAAAGACAGCAATTTATCTGAAAGTTTGGACGACACATACTCTTCGTCAGGCTGTTCAGTCTTGTGCCCGTCATCGTTCTTGGGCGAGCCATCTACAATGACAAGGAAAGACTTCCATGGAGTATTCTTATCGTGTATCTACAAGTCAAACATAAAACAAGAGTCACTGAATGTGTCTGAACAAGTGCATCTTTGAAAACAAGACCCTCTACAACTTCAATTTTCGACTTTCAGTGACAAGTACCCCCTGCCACCACCCTCACTATTACAGAGTAGTCGTCGTGGACTGTGCTTTCCCTGAGCCTTGAGGTTTGGAGCTCCACTTTATTCACTCTGTGAATGTTCCACTGCAGAGACAACCCAAGGAGAAAGTACCTGTTGTCTCGACCCCTAACCACCTTGGAGAATGGTGGTAGGTATTTCTCTTTAGGTTCCGTGTATCTAAGGGCAGCAGCTTGTTTCTCAAACAAGCCATCCCACTGCTTACTGAGGTGTGCCGCCGAAGCGTGGACTTGTCGGTGAAGGTTCGTCCACACGCATTGCACATGAATGGCCTCTCCCCTGTGTGGATGCGACGGTGGCGCTGGAGTGCGTTGAGCTGCGTGAACTGCTTGCCGCACTGGTCACAGCAGTAGGGACGCTCCCCTGAGGCAGGGAGAGAGGAGACTGGTGGTGGGTCCTTTTGGCCTACTGTGCTTAATTCTGAATACACACTTGAATGGATTGTTGCAAACCACTGGGAAGCCTCAGCATCCAGCAGAAAGGTTACGTTGGCAACAACTGAAGGGCTACAAATCTACCATCTCTATAATCCCAAGAGTTTATGTTACACAAAAAAGGGGCCACAGCCTCAGAAATGACACTTGTTTTCCACAGTAATGGAGTATAAAATTACAAGTCCCCTAACAACTAAATATGCATGTATGTGTGGGCATAGACTGACATACAGAGATCATTATCCCTGTGTCCACACATCCACATCCGCTCCCAACATTCACACCCTGACTTTTCACTGAAAAGGACTAAGCTGTCTCTCCTTTTCGGTAAAGACTCCAGGTAGCAGAGGGGCTTCATCTTCTCATTAACACACGTAAGTGCTCCCACTTTTCAGTTTTTCAGAATTAGAAACAAGAAACTCTAAAAAAATGCCATCATGACATACAAAGTTTGTCCAGTTTTTTCAAAAACTTAATTCCAAGTAATTTACTGGTAAATCTACAAGCTTTGGGATTTTTTTTTTTTTTTTGGCCAAACTAAACTCCCTTCCCTGGGACATTCCAACCATACCTGTGTGGACTTTAATATGCTGGTAGAGTGAATTACGCTGGGCAAAAGTCCTGAAACATACTTCACATTTAAAAGGTTTGGATCCAGTATGGATTCTGTTGTGGTGTTTTAAGTACTCCTTAGAAGCAAAACTCTTGCCACATGTTTCACACATAAAAGGTCTTTCACCTACATGAAAAAATGAAATAAAGTCATAAACAATACAGCCTTAAAAACACATGGAAGAGTCGGTCTATACTCTCAAAACCCATGTGAACTCCTCAAAAGTGCCTTGGTAGGTAGGTAGCATGTAACATTTTCTAGTAAAAACTATCGTAAAATATTTATTCATGCAAGATGCTTGCTGCTTACTGAAAGTTGGTATAAAATATCCTTGAAAATCACAAGAAAAACTTCATTTGACTAGAATCAAAGAGGTATTGTTTGTTCAGCTGGCTCACATTTTAGAACTGTGGTCACTCCAAACAAGAAAATAATTTCACAACTTCTGTATGGAGAAACTGCTGGATTATTTTCAAAGGAGCACTTCTATGAATCTTTATCAGAATAAAGGTCCCTCTTCAAAGGAGAAGTAAGTTTACAATAGATATATATCACTATTCTATTGTAGGAACTCCAATCAACTTGATTGAATTGCAGGTCAAAAGTTATAAATACCAGCTCACTTCCTTTTGTAGTTTAATCCCACAAATCAAACTTATCAAATTATTAGGTGTGCCCCTGATTTCACAGACATCAAAATAAAAATACTGACTTTAATAATAAAATCTTACCATGTTCATATTCTTATCAAAGGACCAATTCCAACTTAATCCTTCAATATAACCTGACATTGTCCCCAATCCCAAGCTTTCTTTAGATACCAATTCTACTCATTCTGTAGTCATAAGTCATGTCATTAAATGCTAATTTCATGACATTAAATGAGGTTTGCATTTAGTGACATGAATGATGACTACAGAGTGCACAGAACTGGTGTCTAATCAAACAGACATGGTATCTCATGAGACAGACATGTCATCCCTGTCTCACTTGCATTTGAACTTGAGGCTTAAAAGCCAGTGTTTACAAGTAAGAGTGAAAAATGCAAGCAAAGAAGAAGCTGGGTTAGAAGAATTAGAACACTTCAATGCTGTATGCTTCTGTATCTTACACGAGATTCTGAACCTCAGGGTTACTGTGATGAAGCAGAATAAAGCCAACTTAAATTCTCACATAGTAATTCATAAAGACTTTGGAAAACATAATGAGATAATCCTATTACCTTAATATATAACAGCTTATTTTCTTCTTGTCTTTTGTGTGCAGGTTTTCAGTACAGTTGAGGTTAACTGTAAGTTTCACTGTGCATTTTAAAGTTGAACATCCAAGCACAGACCTTTTCATGTCATTCAGAGCCCTTACTCTGAATAGCCAGGGTGATAAGCCAGGGTATAGATTTACCAGAGTTTACTGGAGTGCTTCCTTGTGAATGGACAATCAAGTTGTTTCCCATTCTTAGTTAATAAAAATAGCAAGAAGGGGGATAACAACATATAGCTCTTCCCACATGTTGGACAATTTCTTCAGAACAGTCTTAGAAAAGGAATTTTTCGTTATAACAGTAAGAACTATTTTAGATCTCTTGATACCTAAGACCTGCATGCCAGATCCTATGGCCTAGTGGTATAAAAGCCATGGCCACGTGCACACGAGCCACGAAGGCAATGGGTGTATGTTTATTCATTTTGCTCACTTAATAGATGGAAAAGCTATATCATGGCTTTAACCTGCACCACCTTGGTAGATGCCAACTTCAAAATTAATCAATTGCATTTCCTTCTACAGCTAGGAAAGACATTCAATCACAACAGCATGGGTATTTACCTGTGTGACACCTTTTATGATAAATCAGCATGTGGTTCTGAGTGAATCTTGCACCACATTCATCACAGACAAAAGGTTTTTCCCCTGTATGAATTCTGAAAGTACAACATTCATATGGTAACTTAGGATGTATTTCAAAGCTCACTTTGCAGTACAATTTCCACTCTATCCTGCAAAAATCATTTATTCCAAGAGACCTAATGAGAATGACTGTAGTGACAGGTCAACAGCCCATAATCTCCATCCCAAAATAAACTGAGTTTCTGCACAAGGTCAATGGATCCACACACTTTCCATAAATCACTGACTACAATGTTCATGTTCACCTGCTCACAAGCCCTACTGCTGATGCCATAAGGCATGTGCCGGTTTTTGAAAACACTAAAGACCACCATCTAATATTTGTAAAGCTGTCTCACACAGAATAATCAGCCACAAACGCTTTAGGAACTACTGCTGACTATGTCACATGATCAAAAATTTTACTCTAATTTCCTAACATGATGTAACCAGTCGAGAAAGGAGAACTGTTCTCAAAACGCTGAAGGTGGCATTTTTTTTGCATAAGCATTTTAATGTCACAACTAGTATGAAGTAGCAATCAACCATAATTTACCGAGCACTTCCTAAACCAAGTATTTTTAACGATTACATAGAGTAAAAGATGATGACCACTATGCTGCTAACCCAAGACTGACGTAGGCTTGAGGGCGGATCTCGAATAGAACAGAAAACAACTGCTTGTTGGGATTTCAAGAATAAATATGCTAACAACCATAAGGAAACTTATTTAAAAACATCACCACACACCTACAGTTCAGAAACGTATTAAGAAACAGAAAGCATTCTCTGTGCTGATTCTGGAGTGTAGACTGCACAGAGGCACTCCTAAGCCTGAGAACCAAAGACAAGCTACAAGTCCTAAAGCCAGAAACGGCATCTCACTGAGGTCTCTACTGAGACTGTGGGACCCAGGCAGGTGGTCACAGAACCTGAGATCTAAATGAAGAGTCAGGAAAGGAGAAACAAAGGTAAAGAGGCCCAACTCTTCTTCCAGCACGGCAGGGCGAGCCTGCGGCCACTGCGGCAAGCCCCACCAGGGGGACATCCCAGCCCACAGGGGCACCCCGGGGTCTCAGAACAAGGGAGCAGAGCCATTGCTTGCAGCCCCTCTACCCTGACAGTGAACCCAATGCTGTCTCGAAAGAGGCCCCCAGGTTTGGAGCGGACAAATTAGGAAGAAGACATCACCGGGTCCAAATCCCGGACGATCTCAGTGCTTGACACGCCCCTCCAGTGCACAGAGACCCCTCTGGGCGGTTCCCCGCGTACCTCATGTGCGTCTTGAGTGCAGACGGCTGTGAGAACCTGGCGCCACACTCGGTGCAGCCGTAGGGCCGGTCGCCCGTGTGTGTGCGCTCGTGCAACCGCAGGGCTGTCTTGGAACTCAGGCCCTTGCCGCACTGGCCGCAGCGGTGCCGCTCGCCCCCGCCCTCGTGCACCTGCAGCACGTGCCGCTTCACGTCCTTCTTGCGCTTGAACTTCTTCCCGCACAGCTCGCATGGGAAGTGGCGCTCGCTGCTGTGCACGTGGCGCTGGTGGCTCTTCAGGTTGCAGCGGTTGGCAAAGGTCTGGCTGCAGGTGTCGCAGCGGTACACCACCTCAGTGGCCACGCCGTGGCGGTGCTTGATGTGCTTCAGGAAGCTCTTCTCGTACAGAAATGCCTTCTCGCAGATGCTGCATTTAAAGTTGCTCTTTTTCTTCTCCCCCTCTTCCTCTTCCTCCTCTTCCTCTTCCTCCTCCTCTGCCCCTGCTTTCTTCGACACTTCCTCCAACTTAGCACCCGCTTGGCAACCCTCATTTTTGATCACCAGCTCCATCTCTGCGCCCACCCTGTCTGGGCTTTGGTCCTGGGGATACCTGAAGTCCCCCACATCACTCTCAGCACTTTTCTGCTGCTCTCGGAGTCTTCTCGTGTATTTCTTTTTAGGGATCTCCACAAAGACCTTCCTTCCAGCCAGCCTTCCACTAGCTCTCCTGATTTTAGGGTAGGAAGGTTTAACTACCTCTTTCTTCTTGTCTAGTTTGTCCTTGGACTTCCTCGGCAAATCTGAAGACATGCCATTGCTGGCTCGCTCTCCTGGGCCACCCAAGGAATCAGTGAGGCCATTGGGGTGAGGGCTATCCGTGCCCACACTTGCCCTGGGGACAGGAGCAGCACTAACTTGGGAGCCACTGCTCCCCTCAACCTCCTGAGACTCTGAGAAATTTTGCAACTCCAAAAGTACTGACTCTAACATCTGTTTCTTTAACTGAAAACAAGTTTCTGAGAGGTCCAAACATTTCAGCTTTTCAGCCGTTTCCAGCATTCGCTGCACCCGATCTTCTTCTACCTGTACCTTTGCAGTGTAGACAAACTCAAGAAATGAAGCAAAGTCAGCAACCTGCACTTCATTTAAGTAGACATTAGTCCTAGAACCATCCACACTCTTCTCATTAAGGAACACTTCCTTAAAAAACTTGCTGGTGGCAGCCAGCACTGCCTTGTGGGCCATGAAGTCTTTGCGGACGCCCTGATACTCCACGCTGACTGTCACGTCACACAGGTGGCCCAGGAGACGAAGCTCATGCATTTCATGCAGTAGGTTAAATGGTGAGGACTTGGATTCCAGCAGAACCGCACCACTTTCCATCTTTCTTCCTTCCAAAAACAGCTTTGAAAAAGAAGTAAGAATTATGCATGAGCAATCACTGAAGCAAAAGGACTAAAATTTATGAGGATGACTTCAGTTCTTGGGAGGATATTGACTCATTAACAACCTAGCTTTACTCAGGTAAAGATCTGAATGACACTTCACCTCTTAACACAGTTTTCTAAAGTGAATTTCCTCATGCATTTTCCTAAGGTAATAAATTGGCATAAAAAAATGGTGTATTCTAAGATTTCCTCCAGTGATAAACAAATGATGGAAGTTGTGATTAGTGAAAATACATTAACACACTAATTTGCTCACCAAGGTCCCTGTCTAATTTGCTTACAAACCATAGACTGAAAACTGTAAAAGAAATCATGGCAACAATACATCTAGCTCTCTGATCAGGAAACCAGATAATTAAGATAAAACATACATCCGCCGGGCACGGTGGCTCAAGCCTGTAATCCCAGCACTTTGGGAGGCCGAGGCGGGTGGATCACGAGGTCAAGAGATCGAGACCATCCTGGTCAGCATGGTGAAACGCCGTCTCTACTAAAAACACAAAAAATTAGCTGGGCATGGTGGCGCGTGCCTGTAATCCCAACTACTCGGGAGGCTGAGGTGGGAGAATTGCTTGAACCCAGGAGGCGGAGGTTGCGGTGAGCTGAGATCGCGCCATCGCACTTCAGCCTAGGTAACAAGAGCGAAACTCTGTCTCAAAAAAAAAAAAAACAACAACAACAACAACAAAAAACATACATCCACCACCATCTGGGAGCAAATCGAAAAAACCTAAAACCTTAGGCAATCATTTCTGCCTTTGAAAAGAACCAAGTAAATAACTACTTTCCATGAGGAAAACTTCCTGGAAAAGTAGTTCACAATTCATCGCCCATTCCCAACACCCTAAATACCTCATAATTTGAATTATTCTTACTCTACTGAAATAATGACAGTTTCACAGCTTTTACAAGCTGTGTTCCTTTGAACAAGCAACTTCTCTGAACCCATTTCCTCCTCTAAAGAAGGCTGACCGGCTTTTCCATGGGCCTGAAAGTTGCTGGCTAGTTGTTACTGGTTTCCCCCATACAGGCCAAGGTGATATAGCGATCCCCATTTCCTAGATGAGGACCTAACAAGGTATCAGTCAACGGCTGGTTGGGACCAGCTGAGTAGCTGGGAATCAAACTACTCAACACACTATTCCCCTCAGCCTCGCCAAGGGCAAAGGGCTACCTTGAGCCCCTAAATCTTCCCACTGCAGTGGGCATGCAAATTTCACCAAACCCACCTAAGGCCTCCAGATACCTTCACCCCATCATCATTTCTGCTGCTTTGCCACAAACTCCCTGAATATGTGTTTTCTCCAGGAGATTCGCCCCTGCCCTTCAGCTCTGGAATCCACCTTCCTCTTTGATTCCTGTCTCCACCCATCCAAAGCACGTTACCTTCCTTCTAGCCTCCTTCCGCCAGACCACAGATGTCACCTCGGATTCAACATGTCTAGGAAAAAAGTTGTCATCATCTTTCCTGAAAAAACCAGTCCCATCCCTCACTCCTTCTCCAGTCTCATCAATGATACTGCTCCCCAAAACCACCGGTCCCCATACATGGAAAAGACTACCCTCTGGGAGTTCTGCTGTAAACAAGTACCTAGGAGGTTCGAGCAATGTCACCTGAAGGGGACTCCACAGTAAATTGTGAGCACACTGACAAAGCCTAAGCAAAGGATCTATAGAATCGGGGCGGGGTTTCAGTGGTCCCAGCCCCAGCCTGCGAAAACGAGGATGCCGAGGGCTCTATTAGCCTGACATCCACACGCACGGCCAGCCCCGACTTCCCTAGACCTCTGCCCACAGGGCCCTCGAGGGGACCTGACTTCTCAGCCAACCAGCAAACTGGGTTCTGACCACGATTTCCCATGTTGTGTGGCCACCGGAGCGCAGGCACTGGAGGCGGCGACGGGGCCCTGTGCGGCCGGTGACAGCTGCGTGTCCGCGGAAGCTCATTGGCATTCCGGCCGCCTCCCAGCGCGCCCGACATCTGCACCCGCGCCCCCGGGGCTCACAGGGCCGGAGCCCTTCCCAGGAGACGCTGCTCCCCGCAGCCCCGTCCCCGGCCGCAGGGGCCGGGCTTTCCGAGGGGGCTTCAAGCCGCCGCCGTCCTCACGGCACCTCCCACCCGGCCAGCGCCACTTCGCCGCCACAGCGCCCAGACCTTCCTCGGCCCCTCCAAAGACGAGCCGGCGACCAAACTACCAGAGCCACAGAGAAGCCCCTCCTCGGCCGGACGCGCCGCATTTCGACGCCGGCCGCGTGGATCGGGCCCTCGGGCCGCCCCTGTCCCCTGCTCCCGCACCCCCGAGGCCTGCCGCTCCTCAGGGCAGCCCCGGCGTCCGGACGACAGTGGGGAAGCGTCCAGAGGCGAGGAGCCGGGGCCAGGCCTGCGGGCCGCGAACTCACCTCTCCGCGGGCTCCCCCGCCACCGCCGCGGTCCGCTGGCCGCCGGACCAGGCCGGTAGGAACTGCCGGCCCAGCCAGGCGGGGCGCGACACCCGGCGCGGGCGCCTCCGATTGGTCACTGCAGGTCCCTCCCCTCCCCCGGCTGGCCCCGCCCCTGGCAGGGCTGAGGAAGGCGCTGCGCGCACACGGCGGACTGCGGCGCGGTTGGGGCAGAGTTACCCGATCTGACGTACGCTGGGGCCGCGCGACGGGCTGGCGACGTCGGATTGCGTCATCCGCCGCAAGCCAAGGCCTACGCCTGCGCAGGAGACATCGACGTCTGCGCTGCGGCGCGCTGCGGCACGCCACAGCACGCCACAGCGGGGCGGAGCCAGCCGCGAAAGGTCACGTGAGCGGCCTAGTCACGTGGTCACTTTCGGGTCCCTTCCGGGCATCTGGCCCCGAGACCTGGGAGCTACCGGGCTTCAGGCAGGGCGTGGCCTGTGGCTGGTTTGCTAAGAGCTGCTCAGGTCCGCGAGGCCGAGCGCACCCGCGGGGCACAGTGGCCTCGCAAGGAACCTCGCCGGAGAGCGGGCTCGAAGCAGGCAGGCGCCGCGGCGACCGAGGGTGCAGCCGCGCGCAGATAACCTCCGCGAGCGCTGGAAAGCCTAGCGCGCCGCGCCCCTCGGGGGCACTTCTTCCGCGGTGCCCTGCCCCTGCTGGGAGACCCGGCGCGCCGGGAACCGGGGCTGCACGCCGCCGTCTTTACTGTAGGGCTTTATTTTTCCGGGAGTTCCCATCCGGGCGAAGGCTTTGTTCACTACGGAACTTCCCAGAGATCCATCTACTTTTCTGAGGAAAGCGCAATTGGTGCCTTAAGATTCGCTGACTCCTCGAATTTTTGCTGTTTCCCCAGAAACACCTGCCTTAAGTCAGACTTCAGTTCTCCATAGCCATTGCTAAAGCTTTGACGGGTCCATGCTGTTCCTTACTGAGGCCAGCAGTTAACTCAGCCTTGTCTTATCAATAGGTTTAGGTTGTAATGTTTGAGGAATGTCAGGACAAATACAAACTTAACATAAGAGCTTTACTACCTTCTGTTGAAAATAAGAGGTTTCCCTCCCTTTTTCTTGGAACAATTACTTTTAAAAATTGGTAATTAGTGTAAGTACTTTTTCCACGCTTGAAATATATAAATCCTTTTGAAGACTGGTTAGGCCTTTTTGTCTGCTTTATAACCTAGAAATATCTTTCTCTAGGACCTAGGAGCCATCTCTTTAAATATCAAGGGAGATACTGCCCGTATCTTCCAGTTTTCATGGGAGCGAAAGAGCCTAACTTCAGTGGGCCCTTTGCCCCAACTTAAAAAATTATCTCCTATCATAAAGACACAAGTTTCTTTTTCCTCTAGATAAAGCCAATTGGCTAACACAGAGGATCACGCCAAATATCAGATTAAATAAACTGTGTGATGAAAAGTGCTGCCAGGTTCCCTTGAGAACTAGTTATTATCTTGAAAACATGTTTGTAATAGATTGCTTGGCTGCACAAGAGTGAGATTTCTGTCGTTGCAGTCTCTTAGTGGATTGCCTGTGATGGGTATCACGTTCTAGTTTAATGCTTATTCATTTAAAACGTGTTTTCTTTCTCCACTACCTTTCTGAAGAGGGTTGGGAGATTATACTTGTAGTTACATTTCCTGAACAGGAGCCAGCTTCCCCCACATAGTAGGTGCTCAATAAATATTTGAAGAATGAATAACAGAATTCTTTCTTAGGCTAACTCTCTTTATATTTGCATTCCATGATTTGAGGAAATGAATGCAGTTTTCACCCGTGGCTCCAGTAGGCCCAGAATGGTGTTTTATGATTTTGTTTTGTATTAGAAAAAGGTGGCCGGGCACAATGGCTCATGTAATCCCAGCACTTTGGGAGGCCAAGGTGTGCGCATCACTTAAGGTCAGGAGTTCGAGACCAGCCTGGCCAACATGGTGATACCCCTTCTCTACGAAAAATACAAAACTTAGCCGGGTGTGGTGGCACATGCCAGTAATCCCAGCTATTCAGGAGGCTGAGACAGGAAAATCACTTGAACCCGGGAGGCAGTAGTGGCAGTGAGTGGAGATCCTGCCACTGCACTCCAGCCTGGGCAACAGAGTGGCATTCTATCTCAAAAAAACAAAACGAAATTAGCTGGGCACTTGTATTCCCAGAGGCTTGGGCTGAGGCAGGAGAATCACTTGAACCCAGAAGATGGAGGTTGCAGTGACCCTAGATCACATCACTGCACTCCAGCCTGGGCAACAGAATAAGATGCCATCTCTGATTATGTTAGCTAGCATTCAGTGCTGAAAAGATTGCTTTAGTTGGGTGTCTTAATAGCTTTAATGCCTAACCAAATAAAGAAATAGCATATGATAGTCATATTTTATATTAAATTACCATTAGAAATGCTACAGGAATTTATAAACTAGATCAAGTTCCATGGTAGAAATTACAACAAGCTTATTCAAAGGAACTCCTGGAAATCAATAAGGTAAAAAACACCAGCCAATACAAAAGTAGCAAAGTATATTGCAAATTAAAATAAAATTCTAAGTCTCCCAACTGACTGAACAGACTCCCTCTTGGCTGAGAGAGAGAAAATACACCTTAAAAAACAGTTTTTTGCCCCAGAGAAATCTTAAAAACCGTTTCCTTGGAACAAGGGGTTGGATGGGCCTCATTTCCACGCACCACCCATCCTAGCATTAAGGTTAAAATAGAGGTGATAAGACTCGCAGACTCTTTGTGGCAATAAGATATTAAATTATAAACAGAATTATGCCCAGCAAGGGTTAAGTCATGCCCTTGTACTCTCAAAGAAGAAACTATGCCCTAACTGCCACGGTTTTAATTCTTCTCTAGCTGCCAAACAAGCTCTGGCTTCTAGATAAACAATGTTAAAACAACGTGCATCTCATCCGCCTCCACGTGCTGACTAACTGACCCCGGGTCCACAAATAACTGCTGCTTTGAATGGACCAGAGACTGACTACAGTAACTTTCTCCTGATGGGAAACAACTGAACGGGCTGATTCTGGCTGGTTTACAGAGGCTGCACATGAGTGCATTAGTGTCCTGAAAAGACCTTTCAACATATAGGGTCTAAGTGTAATAGATGCAAATGCTAAGACTCCAACCCAAAATGAACATGGGTCACCTGTAACATGCATGTTTGTCCAGTAAGCATAGGTCAGGACCCCTTTCATGAATATTCATAGCTCTTCCTGTGGTCTGTTGCATATGTATATTTGGCCGAGCCTTTCAGCTTAAATTCGTTTTGGGCCCGCTTCCTTGCAGGTGCCTGCGGAGCTTCTGCCAGAGGCTATGCTTCCCAGCCTGTCAGAAGGGCCACCTTGCAGATTATCACCCTTTAAAGAAATAAGGCTCGCCTTTCTAAGTTTATAAGTTTGTGATTTTTTTTTTTTTTTTGGTCAGTAATACCAATAGACAATTCACATGAGAGTGTGAATGGCATACTTCACTGACAATGGAATACTATAAAAACAACGATAAACCACTGATAAACGTCAGACTGACAAAGTTAAATATAGTGTTTCATGCTGCAGAACTCTGCATGAGAAAAGTACAAGGAAGTGAACAATTTTTATGGAAGGGTGTTCACTGCGGTGCACTTAGTGAAACTTTGGAAACAATCTATTCACCTATAAGGAGATGGCCGAATATTTGATGATATATGCAAGCACTACATTGTTATGAGGTCATTAAAACAACGTTAAAAAATATGTGTAACAGCCTGGGGAAATGCTCACCATGTTATAATGAGTAAAGACGGCTATGCTATTTTACACAGGGTCGGATCTGATTTGAAAACAAATCTATAGAAATAGACTGGAAAGAAATGATCCAATTCTAAACCCCACTAAGAACAACGCTACAGCAGGCACCGCCCAGCGCCCCGCCCACTATGCGCCCGCCCATTGGCTGTCTGAGTCCGGCCCCGCCTCTCCCCGCCCTCTGGAGCTGCCGGGATCGCTCGTTCCAGGGCTCTTTGGTGACCGAGGGCCGTGCTAGGGCGCCGGAGTCACGTGGAGCGCGCTGCAGCAATTTCCAGCTGACAGAGTCCTCCGAAGGGTCCTGCGCCGTCGCAGGGTAATGTTGTCGGCCGTGTCCGTGACGCTGGAACCTGCGGTTGAGGGTGACACTGGCGCGATCCCCTGCGTCTTGGTCTCCGGCTGGTGGCCAGCGGGATCTGAGCTGTGGTTTCCCCCAGCTCCTTTGCGGAGCTGCTGTCCATTCCCCAACAGCACCACTCGGCTGGTCAGCCCACCCTCGGTCAGTCGGTCCTGGCGAGAACTGCCCATGGGCGCTCTGGGTTCCGAGAACTGCTCTGGGCGTGGCGTTCGTAACGCTGGGGTCACGGCTCCCAAGCGAGGGAAGAGCAGCCCGCAGACGGCCGCGCCAACAGTATCCCAGGTTAGGAGAGGGCGCCCCAGGAGGGGTGTGGGCTCCGATTGAGAAAGAACGCCACCGCCTCGTGGGAGCTCTACAATACTGCAAAATAGGTTACAATCCACATCAAATTAAGCATGACCAAAAGGGCAACTGGGGTTCAAGAGTTGAGTTTTAATACACGCCTTTACCTGCCTTAAAATTAGGCAGGTTGTCACAACATTAGGATAAACCATTTCTCGCAAGGTTCGTTGGTTTTGTTTCCCCCCCACCCCCAGAGGGAGTCTCCCTCTGTCGCCCAGACTGGAGTGGAGTGGCGCGATCTCGGCTCACTGGAACCTCCTCCTCCTAGGTTCAAGCTATTCTCCCGCCTCAGCCTCCCAAGTAGCTGGGATTACAGGTGCCTGCCACCACGCCCAGAGACGGTGTTTCGCCCTGTTGGCCAGGCTGATCTTAAGTTTTGCATCCTGGGTCCCTCCTCTTACCTAGTCCCAGCCCTTTGTCTACAGGACAAAGCAACTTTCTACAGTTTTCTGTTTGCTCTTTACAAAGCAGAGACTGGGCCCTAATTTGGCAAGGTGGTAGGGGAGGCAGGGCTGGTGTTTAAGGTCAACTAAAGCAGCATCTAAATCTCTGCTCTTCCCCTAAATTGTTCAAATTAGCAACAGGTGTGCACCTTCCAAGCTTGCAACAGACCACATTCGGAAGCTTCTTGATTTCCTGGTGTTCTGGGAATATCTGGATCAGAGGGAACGTGGTTCACTAGGACCCCTCAGCT